CCGTTTGTTAATTGATTTTTCCGTAACTTTGTTCTGACGAAACTTTACCGACACAAATCTTTACTTAATAAAACTGGTTTATTCTTTCCGAATATAACTTTACGATACACTTAATCTCAATATTCGCGCTAAAACAAACACTATAACGAACGAACGTTAACTTCAACAATACCCTGTGACTGCAGTTCAATTTCTCACTATCTACACACACATTACATTGCCCCGTCACGTTGTCACCCTCTTTTATATACCCGACTACCCTATATCTAGTAAATACTAGAGCATTCGCCAAAGTACAGGATAGTTCTAGAAACGTGGCGTCACAGTAGTCATGTGACTCGCTGACGCAACACTATTAATGAGGTTTTCTATTACTATCAGTGTTAGCCTTTCTTCACTAGCTGTTATTGTGGTTTTCTATTACTATCAGTATTAGTCTTATTTCACTAACTGTTACTGAGGTTTTCTGTTACTGTCAGTGTTAGCCTTATTTCACAAGCTATTACAAAGGTTTTTTGTTACTATCAGTGATAGGCTTATTTCACTAGCTATTACTGAGGTTTTCTGTTACTATCAGTGTTAGTTTTATTTCACAAGGTATTAATGAGGTTTTCTGTTACTATCAGTGTTAGCCTTATTTCCCATATATAACTAAGGTTTTCTGCTACCATCAATGTTGGCCTTATATCACTATCTATTACTGAGGTTTTATTTCACTATCAGTGTTAGCCTTATTTCAATAGCTATTATTGAGGTTTTTAGTTACTATCAGTGATTAGCCTTATTTCCCATATACGACTAAGGTTCTCTGTTACTATCAGTGTTGGCCTTATATCACTATCTGTTAATTAGTTTTCTGTTACTATCAGTGTTAACTTTATTTGAATAACTATTACTGAGGTTTTCTGCTACTATCAGTGTTAACCTTCTTTCATTAGCTGTTACTGAAGTTTTCTATTATTATCAGTGTTAGTCTTATTTCACTAGCTATTACTGAGGTTTCCTATTACTATCAGTGTTAACCATATTTCACTAGCTAGTACTGAGGTTTTCTGTTACTATCAGTGTTAGCCTTATTTCACAAGTTATTACTGTGGTTTTCTGTTGCTGTCAGTGTTAGCCTTATTTAACTAACTATTACTGAGGTTTTCTGTTACTGTCAGTATTAACCTTATATCAATACCTATTACAATGGTTTTCTGTTACTAACAGTGTTTACCTTATTTCAATACTTATTACTGAGGTTTACTTTTACTATCAATGTTAACCTTATTTCATTATCTGTTACTGAAATTTTCTATTATTATGAGTGTTAGCCTTATTTCACTAGCTATTACTGAGGTTTTCCCTTACTATCAGTGCTAACCTTATTTCACTAGCTATTACTGAGGTTTTCTGTTACTATCAATTTAAGCCTTTTTTTCACAAACTATTACTAATGTTTTATATTACTATCAGTGCCAATCTTATTTCAAAAAGATATTACTGAGGTTTTCTGTTACAATCACTGTTAGCCAGATTTCACACGCTATTACTAAGGTTTTCGAGTTTTATCATTGTTAGCCTTATTTCAATAGCTATTACTGAAGTTTTCTAGTT